CACAATCAGCACCTACCCTCAACTCTTCAAAACTATATCCACAAAATGCTGCATTGTTGTTCACAATTGAAACACACTCCTTTAGTGACCTGGCATAGTATTTTTTTAAGCATGATAATACTCAATTCATAAAGGTAGAATCCTGAAATAGAATATATTGCACAATTTATCTTCTCCTCTCACCCATCCTCTTCTTCCTTCGAACTTGACAATAATAGAGTTTCCCAGGCATTCTTTAGTGGCCACCTGGACATTTCAAAGATGGCTCTATTGTTGGTGGAGTTTTATTGCCAAGTATCATCAAGTTATGTGGATACAGTGGCATCAGCCTCCTCGTCCACCAATCCCAACCACCACCTCACCAAGCATGGGAGAGTTCAACCTTTGGACCAATGGTGGCCAGTTACAGAGTGAGAGAGAGATTTCTAGATGACATGACAAGATAGGCATTTGTGCCTGTTCATGTAGACATGTATACACTCACTCTTTTATATATACATACACACAATAGTTTTATTCATGCAGAGCATGTGCTTTGCAAAATCAATTGTTAGAGTTTTTGATGATTCAGAAATGTGGAAGAGTGCAGAATGGCAGCCTTAAGTTTGCCAAGTGCAGTTAGGGCTCATTTACAGCTCCACATCTGTACAGTATTTGAAATTGTCATTCAATTATGGGTTAATTTGAGATTAGGGCATTTATGTTAACCATTCATTTTATGATTTGAAGTAAAAGGGAAATCATGTGTGTGTCTAGTTGTTTTCTATTCAATGCTGATAGGAGAGGACATCTCTCAGATCGTCACACATTGGAAGCTCACAAGTGTTGTACAAAAGTGAGATATGCTTTTTAGATTTGTGACACGGGAATGATGAAGCAAAAGGTCACCACTACTTCCCCCTTCCATTTATTTATTTGCCGATGTTGATTTTGGTATAGACTGCTATGCTACAGCAATTTGCAAAGTTACACTCTGTAGTATTCCTTGTGTAACCTTCAATGCTTTCTTTTTAGCAAACACATGTCTTGTTTTACATGACCAAATATTAATAAAAATTAAATGTGGCAATGGTCTCACTTACAATTCTCCCTCCAATCACAAATCATAAATGCATTATTGGGTTCTTGTCTATGTGTTATTCCTGACTGTGAATCAAAAAATGACAATGATATGTACATTGCTCATATCTGCAATCAGTTTGATTGACTAAAGTAATGATTGTGATGATATTTTGAAAAATAATAATAATTTTAAAATCAGCAATCATAAAAATCTAAGTGTTCTATGCTGAATACCAGTGATCCAGTAGTAAAATGTCATGGTATGGAGCATTATTAAGGTCCAAATTCTACATCTTGTTTGTGAAAAGTTTGGTTTCACAGTTACAAGAGTAGGCTAAGACTGTACAAATGGTATGGAACTGTTTGGTACTCACAGTCTTACTTTCAATGGTCTTGTTATAGATATACACATGTATAGAAGATCAAATAAAGTTCTTTGAGAAACTAAAATCCTCTAAAACCACAATCAAAGACACATAGATTTAATGGAGCTTCCAATATCAAGGTTTACATCAATGGGGATCCTCATTCTTAAATTTAGGAAAAAGAATAAACAATGAGTACATTTACAAGAATATATTAGCCATTACAAACACACCCATACTCCTAATACAGTTGGCAACATTCTTAACCTTCCACGTCACTGAATTTGTTACTACATTCATATAATTTACAAATTCTTGAATATAATCTTACATCCTATAAAGCCTCACACAATTCACAGATTCAAGGCAATGAAAAATATATCATTCAATTCTAATAACATAAAATGCATGGATGGATGCATATATATATATATATATATATATTCACTTGGTGTGCCTGATTAAGCATGCTTTTATGTTTGCAATGATCAAGAGTACTATATCATGAGGTCAAATTCCAACACTTTGAACTTCACACAACATTGAAGTTTCAGAGATGTTGCAAGAATATGAAGCCCTGCCAACCACTTTAAGTGTGAAACCATGCACCAGATTCAAGTAGGGATGGATGAATGTGTGACTAAACGGACTGGTGTTTGGATATAAACATTGGATGAGAAGTGATTGCTTTTTTATGGAACAGAAACCCACTTACGACCACTGAGGAAGCCAAACTTATCCTGGCTGAGTCTCAAAAGGGAAAGGTACGTCCACAATGGGTTGGTGGAACAAGATTGCAAAGGCCCCCAAACTGCCAAGCCCCTTCTCTGTCCTGCCTGCCCACTCACCATCTGGTTTTGCCTTTGCTGAGTTGTTGTTGTCTGTGGGAGGCTGTCAGCCATGGATGCATGTGGTGGATGCGTGTACTTTTTTTTTTTCTCATTCTTCTTCGATAAGGAACTTCACATTCCAGAGCTTCCAGGGTTTCACCATTCCGCATTATTCTTGAAGTGAGGTTTAATTCATGTGGAGAACTGTATCTGTAAGTTCAAGCCTATGTTTACAAGCAGTGAAAACCTCATTTAAAGATATATGTTGCTGAGATCATTTGGGATTCTTAGTTAGATGTGAAAACTATAAATGAGCTCTCTAGGTATTGGATTGATTTTGTATGCATTTAGTTTGAAGGTTGTACGTTTGCATGCCATGTCATGAATACATGGGTGAAGGTTTTAATGACAGACATGTGAAGTTGAATCTAAATGTAAAGTAAGCTTTTTCATTTTTGGATGTAAGAAATCTACATGTTCAAGTACACATGTTCCTTCACTTTGTATTTATTGTTTGATGAACTCTTGAATAAAACTGGCTTGGATTTGCATGACTTTATGTATCTACCCTTTGCAATATGCATCTATTCTGGTACTTGCTGCTTGGAATTTGTCATAAGCTGCTTGGCCATTACCTTAAGTAGTTGAGCTGGCAGACTGCATTCAAAGGGAGTGGACCTCATTGCATGCTGTGTCAGCACCACAAGACATAACAAATTGCCCTGGAATTTCCTCTTTTCAAATATCCTTTCAACACAAAAGTTCTCCCAAGCATGAAAGATGAATCCATGGGTGGAACTTTGTTGTGATGTTCTTTCTGGAACATATGATCCTAAGTTAGATAGTGAGGCCATTCCATCCAAAATGGAACTTCTTAAAATATGACTCCTTCTTAAATATCCATAACAAGAAAATGAAAAAATGAAAAATAAATAAATAAAGCAAGTTTATGAATTCATTTGAAAGTTCAGCCATCAAAACAACAATCATGAAGTTCAAAAGAGTGATGGGTTTATTTCATCAATATGTCAGATGTTTTCAAAGTTAGTAGCTGAAGCACAATGTTCTTTGTTTGAGTGGGAAAACCTCAATCTGCACCCATTCAAAAACTAAGGCTTTTGGCCAAGGGAACTCAGTTGGGTTCCCTGGTTCAATCTCACAGGGGATTGGAACAGTCACTGAGAGAAAGAATAAGCCCTAATATTGGAACCCTGACTTTGAAACCCTAATATTGTTCCCAACTCCTTCAGAGTGTGACAATAAAAAGCTATGTGGAAGTGGATTAGGGTTTGAGATTTAAGGGGAGAGAAAGACGAGGGTGTCAGTCTGCACATGAAGCTAAAGGCGCAGAACATGGCTCTCTCCTTTCCTCTCTCTCCACATCTATATATACTGATTGTTCACCATTCTATTTTAGTTAAGTAATTGTGACTGAGAATAGAAAACTTGTATTGATTGTTGAATGTTAACTAGTATCTCATTCCCATAGTCATCTTTGAAATTCAAACTTGTATCTTATGTATGGTATCCAAGTTTTAATTCATGTTTGTTGGGAGAAGATCATGTGTCTCTTGTTCTATATTTATATTTTATACTCTGCCTAGATGTAAATATCATCACTAAAAAAAACACCACTTGCAGGTTAAAATTTGATAAACATGTATTGATTTTTTTTTAGGCTTCTGCATGGTTAAAAAATACACTCATGGTGGTATTCCCCAGGGTGGATGCTGAACATATATCAGATGCAGAAAGTGGTATTTGATCATCAATAAATTTATATGTTCAATGATTGTGCATTTTAAATTCCAGGAACTTATAAATAAATACATACATGTTGATGGTGTGATAATTTATATATTTACGGTTATTTATGATTAGTTATTTGTTTCTTGCTTGCTTTTTTGTTTGTAAATTTTTTATATACATTTGCTTACAGATGCTTGAAATTGAAAATCGGATGTTTCAAGTAAAATGTTATGCAACGTAACAGTCCTTAAATAAATTCACACCCATCACAATATCATTCAATTGCTATGTGTAAAGACATTATACCTAAATATATATTTAAAGACATCAAAAAAATTCGAAATTTTACACAAACGTATTAAGTTCTCTGAAAAGTTCACTATCTTGTGAACCAATATACAACAATAAAAACCCAACAATAAACGGATAACATGATCGGCTTGAAAGAAAAGCAAAGAAGCCATCAAAGGCAACAATGATCCACAAACGAGATTTTGCACTTTCTTTATTATAGATGAAAGTTGATCAACATCCAAAACGGATGACCATACATCCATCCAGCTCCGCATTCACACAAGGCGCCGTTCCGATGCAGTTTCGCCGTCATCGGCGGGGACCCACAACCACATTCCTCGGCGAGTGAACACCGAAAGAGAATTCCTCGGAGATCGTCGTCAATTCAACTCGGAGCTCCGATGGCTGCTGGGAAGGGCACTAGATCGTCTAACCAACCTCGAGTGAGAAGCAGTTGGAAAGGGTAAGCTGCGGTGGTCAAGTTTGTTGTCCACCAAAAGGTTCGCGAATCGTCGTCGTCGTCAAACCTCCCAACCTGCCGCGGAGGAAAGTAAACGAGAATGATCTCACTGCATCAGACAGCCGCGACCACGAGGTTGACTTCCTCATCCTAACATTCTCGCAGGAAAAAAGTAGTATTATTATTGTTATTATTATTATTATTATTATTATTATAATATCGGATCAGACAGCACCGGTCAACACTGAGCTCCCAATCTCCCGTTAATGACCGCGTGAAATTTATGACCTGAGCTCGTCTCGTCTCTCTAGTGTGAAATGCGATTCCGCGAAGCCGCGTCCACAGACCGGCTGTCGGACAGATGTACAGGGCAGACACCCTCGAACTCACCGACAGGGAATTCCCTGAAGCATGCCCGCGTGTCGGTGAATTGGGTGTTTTTTGCATGCAATCCAATCTCCGTGGCATCGCTGTTCCTGGCATCTTCGAAGCTAGCTTGTGTGACCAGTCGCGTGCCAAGTTGGTGATTGTGTGTGAAAGAAGTCTGGAAGTGAAGAAGTGCGGAAACGGGGTTCATGCGTTTCTCAAAATGGCACTGTATCTGGTATATGAAATGTGATGGGAAGGGGTTTTCGGAAAATTTCGTGTGTCCACTGATAATAATCTCATTCGTGCTTGGCAGTCTTCGCCCCGCTTTAGCTTCCAAGGCCTCCATCTTCATTGCTTAATACATGAGGGCTCCTGAATGAGATCTCTCGATGCGTCGGAAGACCTTTTGTCGTCTTCTGGACAAAATGGCTGCTGGGTGTAATTGCGTTGACAGAAACTCCTGCTTTAATTGTCTGCTCCAGTGTCTCACTCTGGACAATCTACCTTAAGATGAGCCACTCGCAGGCGCAGTACTAGTGAGAATCTCCGAGGACAGGATTTCACTTAGGGTTCGATTTTAGGTTTGTGTTCGGTTGATTGAATGTTTTCTTTTTCATAAAATAAATTTGAGGTTTTATTTGTGATTTAGTGTTGGGTGAGGACAAGCTAATATAATTCCTTTGATTATCACATCTGGGGTTGAAATGAGCAGATGATTTTGTCATTCAAGGTGTATCTGTGGTGCATCAATTCCCTGTCGAGACAATTCTGAAAGGATTTGATGATTACATGCAGTCGAGAAATAGAAGGAAGGTCCCTGCTCGGTGAATTTGATGAATCAGTCAATTAGCTGTTTATCATTCTGTCTGAAATCGGATTTTATGTCACGGCATTCTTGTGCATCATATCCCCAATAATTCTGATTCGCAAGTACCATGTATGCTTACAGAATCTATGACTCGGCTAACTCTTTCACTGCGGTTTGCGATCACATGTTTGGGATTTAGGCCATTTTTCTTTTCCGTGTTTCATACAACTTGATGATGTTAAAATGGGATCCTGGAAAAATCCGGTACCTCATATAGGTATGCGTGCAATAGAAATTGCATAGACGTGAAGCTGCACAGGAGCTTCACCAAGTTGTGAGAGATGGCAGTAGACACTGAAATTTACGAGGAGAGTATTGATGACCAATTTGAGATGGAAATATGCTTGGACGCCGCATCGCCCTACACTTCTTCTTTATCGAGGTGCTCTTGAGGTGAGCTCCTTGTAGTTGGTTTTTACAGAGAAATTCTACAAAGAGCTCTGTGTGATTGTCAGTTTCTTATCCTCCATTCATTCACACAACAAATAGGGTTCGCGGATTCACCAGAGGTCTTAATCTGATCTTTCAAAGTGAATCCAATGCATTTTGATATGATGCAGGTGTAAACAAAACCTACCGGTTTTTCCTGGAGCAGTTTGTGCCGCCTTCGGTAACAGTTCCTCTCAGAAGTTCGAACCTGCTCCGGTTGTTTCAATAGTCCACTAATTCATGTTCGCTCGCTTCTCATTGACAGACTATATCAAAATTTCTGTATCTGTGTAAGTTTTTGGGCAAAATACTCATAAAGCTCGTCCTGTTGATTTCTGGCGCTCATTTCAAGGGGGTTTCACATCGAGGAGATTCAGCAAATTTCGGAGTAACTCTCAATTTTATGCGATGCCAGCGCAACCTAACAGCTGTCGCTAAATCCAAGTTTGGTTCTTCGTTCTCCTGCTTCAGTGTAAACTACGTGATTTGCGCATCCGAAACTTTCGAGGATTGAAACATAAAGCCTCTGTATGAAAATCTAATTCAACATCAAAGATGTTCATCGGTTGGGTTTGGAGTCCTGGTGGCTCAGGGCTACGATATCTTTTTTTAATTCTAGTGTTTCTCACTATTTCTAACACATCATTTGTTATGGTCAACCGAACCCACATGGAAAAAATTTACGGCAGTGCAGTCCAGTTCCGAACAAATCTGACATCAAAAATGTACGGCTCCAGTGCTTTACACTTACGTGATTCATGATCAGCATTTGGTGTCGTGAGCCTTGTCTCAGGGACGCCAAGAACTTGCAGCCCAATTCATGGCCTTCTTTCGTACTTCTCCTTGAAGGGAAGTCCAACATTGAGTTTGCATATTTGATCCCAGCATTTTTGCGAAAGTTTTTTCTGAGCACAGGGTTTCGCTGTAGACAAAGCCAATCCGATCTACTTGGGGTGAAAGCACCACGCTGCCGCTGAAGGTATGCGAGCAGAGCTCTATTGTCCGGAATTGTTCTCCCCAATAGGACATACCTTCTTGGGAGTTCGTTGCGTAGAATCTCAGGATGCGCACCTACATACGTGGCTGGATCAGATGATGCTTTTGGATATATTCGTCTAGCTTTTTCTATTGAACAGACGACTGTTCGTGTGCTGCATCGCTACAGCTGCACATACCACTTTCTTTTCTGCATTCTAGGGTTTGACCCATTCTATACATCGCTTTTTCATCGACTGTTGCAAGTGTCGGTTTGCTGCAAATTCTCGGTCTAAGCAGTTTGGATTGAAGAATTCCAGGTATGCTTGAGGAGTTTTCTGATGAAGCAAGTTGTGTAGGACAGTGCAGGAATGTGTCAAACGTGCAGAGTTTTCGTAGTTTCTTCCCGGATTTTTCTCAGTTTGAAAACCCGAAACAATTGGTTATTGTGTTGCCAAGAAAGGAAAAGAGAAAATCCTTGTAATGTTCGTAGGGAATTGAAAGCTATGTGCACATGATTTGCTGCAGGATTAGGGCTTCCTTGACGTGAATTTGTGACTAGTTTTTTAGGGTTTAAGCCCGTGCGAAATTGTGGGTGACTACGGCCAACTTTATATATGTTCACAACGGATTCAATCACATTTATATCATGCATTACGTTGCTTCTTTGATAAGAATGTTTAAAATAGCAAGGTTGCTTTTCAAAACAAGCAACAGAAGCCTTTGGAAATGGGTGAATACATATTGGAGGTAAAACCTTTTTAGAATGGTTAGTTTAGAAATAAATTAGTGAATGAAAATATCATTCTATTTATAATTTCCAATGCAATTTAGATTATTTTTAATAATACAAAAAGATGATGAAAAATTTTCAAGTGATATCTTGTATACAAAATAAATAAATAAATATCCATAATTAAATAAAAAGTTAAAAGAAAACTGAAATTTAGATCAGGCTCACCAATTGGAGAGCACTTAAATAAATAAACACTTTTGTTCAATTGGTATACATAATATTAGTTGTTTTTGTATGCAAATAATAAATATCGTGATACATGATCATTGATCTTCTAAATTCTACTCAAAATGATGAATGTCTGTCGGAGTGAACATCTGAACTTTGTCCCAACTAATGCCACTACTACTTCTACTTGCCATCCTGTACTTGTGTGCTGTGCTGAGTGACCCTTGACCATCAAAATCAAAATGTGATAATACCCAAAAGCTAAAAGGAAGCACAACTTCACATTTTCATGTCCAAATCTCAAACTTGGAGTCACTCTTCAAAGCTAACCATACTTATGGTTCAGCCAAAGCTTGGCTGTTCTTCAACTGGAACCCTCTCTTCTCTCATGCTTTTCGATGCTTCGATATGTGCACATGAAGCAATCTGCAACTCAGGAGGAGTCCCTTGCTTCTCTTTTGTTTGCTGATCTTAGGTGTGTCATCAATGAGTCTATGAGTTAATCATTCTGTGGACTATGGAGTTGGAGAGACCAATTTCTTGTGATGGGAGATGATGAAGCCGGGGATACACTTTTCTACAGGAGAGCGAGTTTACCTCTTTGACTGTGTCCTTCACAATCGCTATGATGCGTCTGCTTCCACTGCAGGTATTTGGATCAGCATCGTTGACTCTTTGTCGATAACGAAAATGTGAATCGTGGCAAAGAGTGTTATCGTGGGTTGTAGTTGCTTTGATTCACTTTGCTTTGCTTTGCTCTATGTATATTTTTAGTATTTTTTCTGCCTTCGTTGCACCTTAGAAATTTCTCACTCTATCGCATGCTTTTTAGACGCGGGAACTCACCATGGAGTAGTTGCTTTGGCCTCGTCACGTAGCTTGGAGTTTTTGAAGTATTGTAAAAGGTGGGGTTTCGCTGTCATCAACATGGCGGAAGGAAGTGGCAATGAAGAAAAAGGAAAAAAAACAAACCACGTGTGAGCGACTCGAGGCTGTCGGCATTGCGTTATTTTGTGAAAGGGGTGAACATGAAAAATAATATCTGGTAGTTGGTCTGACCAGTTGAGGGTTGATTTATCCTCCTACCCTCTCCTTGCCTAGTTTGGAGTCTCCGAATCTAGCTTTGGTTTATGGTTTTCTAAATTTAGCAATATTGATGGTCTAGAAAGGATACCTGAGTTTTCACTCGTTTGAATGAGTTGGGCTTTTGACACCATGAATACACCGATGAACAATAAGATTTAGCCTACGCCACCTATGAAGAGATATTTACTATCTAGGGCACGAAGGTCTACAATCTCGATGCTTAACTAGTACATATGCTGCCTATATTTTTTGCACAGCGTCTTGGATCGATTATAGCACGCATTTGGGCTTTGGTTCACTTCATCGCAACATCCGAGTTTTTGTGTCGTTGTTTCTGGCTATTTTTGGGGAGTGAGGGGGGCCATAAGTTTCGTAAGCTGCCTGGGCCGGTAAATTAGTTCCGTTGAAGCTGTCATGAATAGTACCCGTTTCATTCCGCTTCATCTGTGCGTCATTGTCACCTCCAATAGAATTCACGGCAAGAGGCGGGTTGTTCCAAGCTATCATCTGACAAGTAAAAATTGGCTAGTTGTTTGTTTGTGTTTCTCAAGGTTTAGTTTTGTTTTACTTCATTAGTGTCTCTTTCACAAATACACTTGTAATCCCTGGAATAATAACAATTATCCTGCGTCTAAACATGAGCCTTCAACCTTAAACTGTGTCATGACATCACTTCTAAAGTGGGTTACTCTTGTGAGAAGCAATTCGCAGATTGGAGACATGGCAAGTGAGGTTCTGTTGTCATGGTCGTGGCTGGTTACAATATTGTTGATTCTGGCAACAATATGCATGGCATTCAAGACTTTAATTGGAGACACGCTGCAATTTTGGCGTTGCGGCGGTCGCGCCTTTATCCAGGAGTTGCTTGCCAGGTTTCATGCTATTCATCTTCTAAAGGCACCATCTCTCTCTAAGGCTATTCAGATAGGTACATCAACTTGCAAGTCTTGGTGTGATCACCACAAATGCTTCTTGAGTACGGGCTGTAGTCTCCTTGTAGTTGCTCAATCTTAGATCTTGGGCGACAATTTTCTTTCAGATATGGAGATCCCTTTACCGCTTCAATTATGGGCTAAAATATGTTGTCAACTCATCGGAAGCCGTCAAGTTTGTACTTTCCAAATCCGAAGTTACGGGATTCCCGGTAGGCCGAGCCAAAAGTGCCGCGCAACTTCTTAGTGAGAGTAAATTTGTGACATCTCAAAGCCTTGCCCACTTTGGAAGAGTTACCCTTGCTTCTGTCTCAGGTAATGCACTCAGGAACATGTAACTTTTCGTCAGTTCTTTGGCCAAGAGAACTGTCAAGTCTTGGGTAAATCAAGCGCTAGTGAACAAAGTTGAAGAAATGGAAAAAAGTAGCTCACGTTGCACACCTTGTACTCTCAATTCTTTAAACAAAATATAGTTCATGAATGAAGTTGGGCTTCTAAGTTTCGCACGGGTTAGAAACCATTCAGTACTTAGCAATAAACACGACATAGCTCTTTCAAGCAATTATTTCATGGGAGAGAAAGTAGTCACGTGTAACAAATTTTTTACGACGTTAACTTAACATGTAGAAGGGAATTGGATAGTCTCATACTTTTTGCTAGTATACTTACGTTGTGCAAATAAGAGCACATACTGTGTGTTAATACTGTTTGATTAGCCACTTCAACTTTCCAGTCTACCCATAGCATTAGTGTGCAACATTCAGACCAGTTTGATGATGTAGTGCTCACCCTATGCGCTCCAACATTGTGCAGTATACATTTGAGGTAATAATGCTCATGGCGTGGAAGGATGTTGAGGTGGGGTCTGAGAAAATGGACCAGATCAGACATGAACTTCACACGCTTTTGAGAGGTCTTAGAGCGTTACCTATCAATCTCCCTGGATTCACATACTACAAGTCCAGGAAGGTATGATCCTTTCGGGCATAAACACAACTTAGATGATTTCGTCCATTTATCTTGCTAAGGTACTTGAGATTAGGCTGTAATCGTTATTTGCAATGGTTAATGCATAGGTGTCCTATTCCATGACGCTAGGTTTTCTATTCCCAAAAAGAACATTGCCATGATGTTGGTATCCTCATAGTACTTGCAATACTTACAACACCGCTGATAATACTGCTAACCGGATCAATTGTTTGAATCAGGCCAAGCTGGTTCTTGTGTCTCTCATGCTGAAGTCAATCGCAAAGAGGAGAGAGGCTAATATCGAGTTGAATGATTTTAGGAATAATTTGATGAAAATGACGGCGATTGAAGTGCCTGATTATGACATATGCTGCATCATGGTCGTCTTCATGTTTGCTTCTACTGATACCACATCCGCTTTAATATCTTGGGTTGTGAAATACCTCCATGACTTTCCAGAAGTACGTCAACGAGTGCAGGTGAGCATTAGATTTCGAATAAAACCATGAACATGCTGTTAAGCCCTCTCTTAACAATGAGACTACACTGGTATTAGTTTGTTCAAACGTGAACTATCTCTCGCTTTAAGAATAGTTCCCTTCTATGACGTTCAATTTCCTCGCTTGTCACACTCCTAAAACCAAGTTAATCATAGATAATAATTTGCACTCAGATTCAGATCTGGTGATGTCATAAGCACTTGTTGGATGCATTCAGTATGAACAAGACTTCATTTGGGAAAAAGATGGTTGAAGACAAGTCATTAACTTGGTTCAAGCCGAAGAGCAGCATGTCTTACACTTTGCAAGCAACTGTTCGGACCTCTGGCCCTATAAACATAGAATTACTGATCACCAACTACTCAATCATGCCACTGTTTTTGATCTTTGGTTATTGTTCTATATGTTGGGTTAGAGGTAGAAGTCGTGTTAAACCCGCTTAGCTCAAAGGTTTGGAGCAGTCCTCGATTCTCTCTACTAATTTGGCAATTACTGGAGGTAACTTGCAGGTTATCTACGAGATTCTGAGAGTTGAGACACTTGTTTTGTTTCTTCCTAGGAGAGCCACCACAGATTATCAACTTCAAAGGTAAATTTTGCTGCTATGGTGAATCCCTACTCCGCACCCTTACGTTGAGCCGCTTGTTCTCCATTTCATTCTGAACTGTTTACGTCCACCCAGGCTTTGTCTTTCCAAAAGGTTCAAAAGTTTGGGCAGCGACAAGTTCACTTCAGCTCAATCCAGAGAACTATTGAAAGCCCCAAATGTTTCGATCCATCCAGATTTGAGGTACTTGAGAAAAGCATCACAACCAAAAGAAGTCGACCATTAGGAAAATTTTCTTTACATTTTATTGAAGGCATTAATTCATGATTCTGATTACCCTATGAAGCTTTCTCATGCACACAAGAACAACCTTGAGATTCACATGCCTTACACATGATAGAGACGCCGGTTCTCTGTACTTCATCATCTTAGATACTTGTGAACTATATTTTCAATTTCACTAGTAGAGATCTGGGCACCATTTAACTCTGTTTAACGTGAACGAACGTATTTTAACGGAAATAGAATTCTACTAAAAATAACGTTTCCCCCTTTTTCGTGATGGAACACATTTTTAACGTAATAATCATCTCTAGCAAGTGATGTGGACTTTTGTGCTCAAGAAAATTTGACATGTCAAATAGTGTGTCCATGATTTCTTCTACTTATGCATCGTGATGTGGACTAATTGGTAGATAATGTGACAATCAACATCAATTGCTTGTAGATAGTCCATAGTTTCTTAAATAAAAATATATGGGTGTATCTTTTGGAGGCACGTTTTTTTCTGTGCATGTTGCCATATTTTTCAATTTGCAAAGTTCTGTGAAGGTCTTTAAAATGTTAATGTCAAATTTAACATATATTGCTTTATTTTGAATTAATCATGATATTTATGCCTATTTAAAATTAAAGTATTACATACATTGATTGAAACATAAAATAATCATATAATTTATAAGTATTATAAACAATTACTATAAACTCTCCATTACAATTTGAAAAATTATGGAAGACCCATACAAAAGTAAGTTAATGATTTTTATTTTATTTAGATGTGAAATAGACAATGTTGCCATTGTTTTCAATTAAGAGCTCCATTAGGAATTTCTTTACAATTTTTTTGTAAGAAAGTTGTATATCCCTTGTTTAGTGCATCTTCCATCATATTATAATTAAATACCTTTTTTATTACTTTTAAGAATAGAAAGCTCTATATTATAATTTGATGTCAATAGAACTTTGACTTCAATTAAATTTGATATGCTTTTGTAGTAAAAATTAACTAGATTTTTTATTTTATTTTTTTATTATACTTATAATCCTTTCCATTCTTGTCTATGTATCAAATTCTACTATGGTAAGGTATACCACCAAAAAGAGTCTTGGAATTTGGAAGACAAATATTTGCATGGTTTTACTTCAAGTACTCTATTTAACCACAATCTATTCAGTACAACATGAAAATAAAAACTATTTGTAAGTGTGGTAATCTACATTCATTCAAACCAAAGATAATTGTGTCAAAATTCCTACCAATTTTTTTGGCTTAAGTAATTTAAGTACCACAATAAAATTCTTTTATTTTTAAAAACTAAAAATAAATGATGTATAGCTTACTATTTTTTCTTTTGTTTGTATTTATATTCATTGATTAATTTGTGTTGTGTTGTGTGTGTGTGTTTTTTTTTAATCATATCATTTTCTATCTTTTTTTTTTCCATTTTTTTCTTGTTCTTTATCATTTGCAACTAGCTGATTCTATTAGTAAAACATAGATAATATTTTATTTTCATGAATATTACAAACTTGAATTTTTTTTCTATTGCTGATTTCATAATTGAACTAATTACTTTATTCTTTGTAACCATACTTGTCATTGTTGCCTTTAATGGAATTTTCTTTGACCACAAACTAATAATAACATCCATGGTACATAATTATCTTTAAGCAATATAACACAACAAATAAGAAAAATAAAATGTCAATTACAACAAAGACTTTGTTGAATCTACAACTTTAGAACAAAATAAAGAATAATTTAATTTTGACATGTAATAATACGACCATTAGGTGAAAGAAGAAAGAAATTATTTTATTATAGAAGCGTTTAATTAAAAATATATAGTAAAAAAAATATAAATAAAAGATGGATAGGTAGTAAAATCTTGTAGTATTAAAAATAATTTTTATAAAAATAGATTTTACTTACTTTTTATGGCCATAAATAAGAAAAAAAAGTTAGATTAAAAAACAAAAGATATAAGAATATGTAAGACGGAATTAGAAATTAATTTTAGAAAAAATTACCTCATATAATCAAGAATTCATACTTAGAGAGGATTTGTTGCCAATTAAGATTGAAATAAAATTCTAAGATACAAAATCAAGTACCTATTCCATTTTTGAGGTTCTTTAGCAAATTAGAGAGTGACATTAGAAAGCAAATCAGAGAGTGGCATTAGAAAGCAAACCAAATTAGGCTTCTTTAACTATTAATTTTGAAGGTTTTAAGTTTGTAATGACTTTGTAAGAGCTTTAAAAAATTAGAATTGTTTTAGGTGACTTTAATTTTTGTAAATAAAATAGGATTGAAATTTTGAACAATTTCGTGAATTTTGCAGTAGATCTATAGTTGACAATTTATAGATTTGTAAATATAATAATAGTTAATGTATGCTATGAATTTAAGCTTAATCAAATATTTATGTTAAAAATTATTGAAGTTTAAGTGAGAGTTTCTAAGATCTCACAATCTTAGTGAGAGTTTCTAAGATCTTTAACAATCTATTAGTGTCAAGGACATACACTAGGAAGTTGTAGAAGATTCTAGAAGATATTAGAGAAGCTTTGTAGTTTGTAAAAACTACTTGAGAAGTTTTCAAGCTCATGGAAGTTGCTTGAGAAGTTTCTTAGCTTCTGGAAGCTGCTTGAGAAGCTTTCTAGTTAATAGAAGCTACTTGAGAAGCTTTCTAGTTAATAGAAGCTACTTGAGAAGCTTCCTAGCTTGTAGTATATGTAGGAGCTGAGACTGAGGGGATCCTCAGTCTCGACAATACACCTCTTGGAGCTCTAGCTCACCTCTCTAGTATTATTCTTGTACTCATCTAACTAATCTAGTTCTTGCCAATTTTTCTTGAGCTTCTTGTTTAGATTTTTAATTAGTATTCTAAATTCATGATAGTTTGTCGAGACTACATGTTATGGACATATACATATAAGCCAATAATTACATGTATAAATAGGTAGAAGTAATTAAAATTAGATAAAAGTAAGTTAATTCTATAGTATTTGATATAGAAGCTTCCTAGAAGCTTCATAGATGTTGTTTTGACTTTATAGGTGTCTTTAATTGACTTTTTGGATTAGAAACATGGTCAACAAGTTGGCCATGTGCCACACATATTGTTAGCTTGAAGACCAAGCTAATTATGTGGCCCGCATGTAGAAAAACTTGCCTTGTAAGTCAAGACATGTATCCTACAAAGTCAACACATATTGGAGGTCCTATAGAACGTCACCACGTAGCCTCTAGTTAGATTATATATATAGAGACAAGAGTGAAGCCTTCTTCACTCTTGTGAACTCCTTTCTTGTTTCTTGTCTAGTTTCAAGGGTCTCTAGTTCTCTTGGCTTTTGGCAATAGCCATTCCAGTTTCTTTCTCAATATATATATCAAGTTATTTCTATTTTATCATCTTTTTTTGAGAGAAGTCTCACTTGTTATTTTTCTTTATCATGTTCTTGACTTTGACACTACACTCATCTTTTATATCAAAGCTAGTTCCTTCTTGTTAGAGTATGGATTACCCCTTTGCTTGAAGGTACTGGCATTTTAAAGGTTGCAAATTATCATCCTCTAAACCAATATTTCTTCTATTATAATATTAGAGTCTTATCTTTACTGGAGAGAGTGGATTATCCCTCTTTTTGAAGGATTTAAGGAGTTTTAGAGGTTGCAGAGTACCCTCCTCTAAACCAATACTACCTTCTTGTAGAGTCATTTCTTTCCTTCTCTTAGAATGGCTGGAGGTCAAGATATTAGTATGACTGAAAGTTCATAGTCCAAGTTGGATGCCATTATGAATATTCTTGCTATGTTATCATAGAAAACTATAAAGATTGAAAGAATCATTGCAAGACTTTATAATTATGGAGCATTCGAGATGGCATAATCAAGGATTCACTAGCCTCAAGCTTTAGCACCAAGAGAAGTAGCTTTGCTTCTAGTTCAACAAGGACCGTTGGTCTTACAACGAAAGAAATCTCAAATTAGCCTTCCAAACAAGTTCAATGGTACACATTCCAAGTTTTGAGGTTTTGTCAATCAAATTAGATTGATAACAGCTTTATAGTCCAAACGCTATCCGATGGAAGAATCACATATTGGACTGGTCGGAACTTTGTTCACGGTGTCGTATTGTAAATGCTTATAGTATGTAAAAATTAGTTAAAATATATTATATGTCAATAAATCTAGATGTGTGTTAGAGTGACTAGTAGATTAAATTAAAAGGAATTGATATAAGAAACTTTATTTTTTTTGTTTACTTATTTTGATTTTGATATTAAAAAAAATATAGGACTTAAATGTTTAGTATAAAGCGTTGGGAGAAGATAGAAGCCTAAGGATGAAAATCTAAAGTAATAAGAGGCTAATTGAGAGGGATGAAAGTAAGGCATGGTTGGATGAAGGCAAGGAATGGAGAACTTCATTCCTATTGGTCGAATACCATGCCCAATGGACTTTGAGGAGGCTGTGCGCGACCTTAATAAGAGTTTTGGTGACTTCAAAGAGGGATTTTGGACATTAGAAGTAAGGTTTGTAAAGTTTAAGATTTGAAGTACAATTTGTCTGTAAAAATTAGAAGATTTGGAATTAGGGTGAAGATGTTATAGCCGTTTGAAGTTAAGGTGTTAATTTAAGACATATTGTTACTCTTTTGAAGATACTAGGAGTTGTACTGCAGCTTTTGAAGATCAAAAGGTATGAATGGAATGGCAATTTATGAAAAAATTATTACTTTTGAAGCTCATGTAAAGAAGTTATAAGGAATTGAAGGCAGCGCTTCCAAATCAAAGGCAGTAAGTGAGCGGTTTTGTTTATAGTAATGGTTGGAGCCATAACTTGAGTTTTTGGATGAATTTTTGGCTTTAATTTTTTAAAAAATGTAAAGTTTTGTGTTAAAAAGCTATATATATAAATTTCGTGGTATTTGAGCTTATATTTTATGAGATATAAAGAAAATTACATGCGGGTATATAAAGACAAGGGTTTGAAGTGACTGTTAGGGTTTTCAAGATATCTCAAGATCCGGAATGAATTTGTAGTTGAAATTTGTTATAAAAGTTAATAAGAATACATCAGTACTTCATGTAAAATTTGAGTTTGTTTGGATGGTCGGAATATGAGATATGAATTGTTGAAGTTCAAGAAAATTTCCACATAAGGATATACAAGGTTTTAGAAGATTTTATCATATTTTGAGTGTTGTTGGTTACTTGAGGCTTGTGTATTTGGTGTAATTGCTCAAAAAGAGAAAATTTATATATAAAC